AACTCAATAAATGGCGCCATCACCTGTTCAACTGCTCAAGCCAAAACCTAAGACTTATTTTATTTCTTGTTCTTCTTATTCTCCCTTCCCCCTACCCCCACCTCTTTTCCTCCTCCTCCTCTCTTTTCTTTCTCTCTTTTTGAACTTTGTATAAGGGAAATGTCTGAATATATACAAAAGTTGGCAGTAGTATAATGCACCCCATGTATACATCATCCACCCCCCACAACTGTCCACCCATGGTCAATCCTGCCTCATCTGCCTCCTCATCCCCTTCCACCCCTTCCACCCCTTCCACCCCTGAGTATTGCTCTGCAGTAAATCCAAGAGTAGTTGTCTGCACCTGTCCACCAACTCAAAAGCGTATACAGAGGCCCTGACTGGGTTCAGTCACATACACAGCCCAGATGGTCTCAACAACACCTCACTCTCTCAAGGCCATGTCCTTGGAACAGCTCCCACTGTGGGAATGGCAGGCAGAGTGTACATTCCAGGGAGGGGGTGGGGGACCTCCAATTGCCTGGGTCAATCAGCAGTCATGTCTTCTTGATGACCTGCCCCAACAGGTGGTAGCTAAAGACAGCTGTTAAGTCAAGAGAGGGTTGGTTTGTTATTAACCTGACATATATTAGAGCATATTAATATGTTAAAAGACCTAGGGAGAGGTTGAGCTTAATGGTTTAGGAGAGACAGGGGATAGAAGTAAGATTGTAACACAGAGCGGAGGGGGAGTTGAGGGGCTGGGTAAAAAAAGTAAAGGGGTTGAGAATCACAAATTGGTAGTTACAGAATAGTCATGAGGATGTAAGGCACAGCATAAGGAGTATAGTCAATAATATTGTAATAACTATGTATTTTCCAGGGGGGTGCTGGAAATAGTGGGGGAAACACTTTGTAAAGTATATGATTGCCTAACCACTATGTGTTACATATGAAATTAACACAAAATAATACTAAATGAAAAAAAAATAAATATAATTTTAATTAAAGAAAAATTAATATTAAAAAATTCATAGCAGCATTGTTCATAATACCCCAAAAGTGATAACAACCCAAATGAACACAAGCTGATGAATGCATAAACAAAATGTAGCAGTATATCTATACAATGGAATGCTATTTGGACATAAAAATGAAGGAGGATATATGCTATAATGTGGATGAACCTTGGAAACACTATTCTGAGTGAAAGCAGTCAGTCACAAAAGGCCACATACAATATGATTCCATTTACATGAAATGTCCATAATAAGGAAATCTGTAGAGACGGAACGCAGATTGACAGTGATGAGGGAGTTGGAGGAAATAGAAAGTAACTGCTAATAAGCATAAAAGATTCTTTTGGGGGTGATGAAAATATTCTAAAATGAATTGTGGTGATGGCTGCACAACACTGAGTGGCATAACTTAGACTGGTGAGTTTTATGGCGTGTGAATTGTGAATTGTATCTCAATAGCTGTTATGTTAGTGAGAAATTGAGAAGGCGAAAGATGGCCAAAAGAAAGGAATTTTCTCAACTGACTGGTGTTTACTATTAAGCCCAAGGCTTTAAGGCCCTGGAAATAGAAGAAAAGAAGCAAGGAAGGTGTAGACTAGAGAAGGGTCAGGAGACCTAGGTCATGGACTTAGTTCTGCTGTTAACTTGCTGTGTTCCTTTGGGCAAGTCTTTTCACTTTCTGGGCTCCAACTTCTCAGCTGTCAAATGGGGAAATGAGGAAAGACTGGATGGGCCTTGAACAGTCTCTAAGGTCTCCTCCTCCCCGCACATTTGTGTGATCTAAGGACAGCTGGGCGAGATAGGAAGCAGGTAACCCCTAGGTGTCCTCGTAATGCAGGACAGCGCCCCCTAGGCTTTGGGACCAGCCAGAGACTGCTGCTGAGGCAGGGGGTCACAGAGACCAGACTTTGGAGTCACAAGCATCTTAGCTGAAAGTCTCCAGGTAAAACAGTGGCTTCTTTTTTGGCAGAAGCCTCCTTCATAGTCTTGGGGGCAGCTCATCACACACAGTCCTAGAGGCTGAACACCAGCTGCACAGTGGTCAAAGGGAATTTTATTTAGAGAAAAAAAATTCAGCAATTTGGCATTATACCAGAGGAAAATTACCATAGTCTAAAATCCCATGAGGAACATTTCCCAGGGCCACTGATAGACTCTGGGGAAGGACAGAGTGTAAACAAAGTCCCTGGTTGGGAGGAGCACTCTGTCAAAGTCCACTGCCTCTATCCCACCAGTCAAACCCGAAGGTGGATCTGCCCCAGCCAAGGCCTTAGAGGAAGGCCTGGGGGCAGCTCCTGAGTCACGTACAGGTGAGCTATTTCAGGGAAGTGTCTTCTCCTATGCAGAGCTGCCAGGACCAGCGGCAGCCCTTGGCAACAAGGTTTTGAGACCCCACAGGTTAGACAAGTTCTTCCCTGGGCTTTGTTTCTGCTGTGACTGTCAAGGAGGTAACGATTCTCCCCATAGTAGGGGTGTGAGCTCCTGCCCTCAGGAGGTCGCAGACACGTGAACAAAGATTCGCAAATCCACAAGAAAGCGCAGAGATTGAAACCTGTTAGGAACTTGGCATGAGCACGGTGACTTTCTGAATGATTAGTGAAGACACAGGGGGTGGCCAAGCCAACTGGGAGACAAAAGAGGAGCTTCAGAGCCAGGATAGGAAAGGAAGGGTAGAAAAAGCAGGTATATGGGGCTGGGACATTTAGGATAGGCACTTGTCTGTCCCCATCTGAAAAGGGTGAGCAGTTTAGTTTAGTGGAGAATAGGATGAGTTGGAAAAGTGGTGGGAAGTGAGATCAGAGACAGTCATTTCTTAGTGAAGGTTTCTTTTTGTTTTGTTTTGTTTTTTAAGTAGTAACACAGATACATTTTTTAACAAAAAAAATAACTTATCTAACAATGATAAACACAGATATTTCTGTAAATATTAAATATTCGAGTGTAAGTTTCAGCTCACCCATATGTCATTCTGGTACACAGTTTAATATTCAAGTCACAATTGTACTAGATTATTCTATTGCTGATATCATCACTTGGGAGAAACTTTTAGTCATTAACACACAAACTTCTTTTTAATATCTTGGTGATGAATTCAATACAGATTTTTAAAGGCAAAGGAAAAATGACAGAACGATATAATGTTCTTGGTAAAGCAACAGAACATAACTTGAGATTTCATTCTAGTTATTTTTTTTATAACATGTCGACCAAGTTATTACTGGAATTTGTAAGGTCAAATTGTTTTATCCAGCCACCATAAAAGAACTTAAATTATGCTGACCTCAAATTTACTTTAAAAAAAATAAAATAAGGCCCTAGCTGGTGTGGCTCAATAGGTTGAGCACTGGCCTGAGAACCAAAAGGTCTCCAGTTCAATTCCCGGTCAGGGCACATGCCTGGGTTCCAGGCCAGGTCCCGGTTGGGGGTGTGCAAGAGGCAACCAATCGATGTTTCCCTCCTTCTCTTTCTGTCCCTCCCCCTCTCTCTAAAAATAAATAAAATAAATATTTTTAGGGAGAGAGGAAGGGAGGGGGAAAGGGAGAGAAACATAGATGTGTGAGAGAAACATCAATCGGTTGCCTCTCACACACACCCCAATGGGGGCCAGGCCCACAACCCAGGCCTGTGCCCTGACTGGGAATCAAACCGGTAACCTTTCGGTTTGCCAGATGATGCCTAATCCACTGAGCCACACCAGTCAGGGCGAAATAAAATGTTTTTTAAAAAATAAGAAATTTGTTCATTTTCTTCTAATTTATGAATCTATGGGATAGTTATCAAATTCTGTATTTCACATTAATATACTGCCCCAGTATTTAGTTTGAAGTTTCAGTCTAAAAAGAAGTGAGGTTATTTTAGTGTCTGATCCCAACAGCTAATTTTAGCAAGAGTTATGGCATTACCTCTTTTTGTTTTTAAAAGAATCATGAAAGAATTTTTTTTTTTGGAAAGGTAAACCATTCACATGGTACAAAGGACACTACAGGGAAAATTCTCTTCTACCCCAGTCCCCCAACCACTCAGATCCCCTCTCTGGAGACCCTAAATATCACATCGCCAATTTCTTGTAAATCCTCCTGGAAATGGAGATGAACTGTGAATGAGCAGATGACACACACACCATACATTTATATCCATGTACATATATCTGCATACATATTCACCTTTCTTCACACAAATGGTAGAACATTGTCCTCACTATTCTATACCTTTTATTGGGTTTAGCAGATACTGTCAGAGATTTCCAAAGATATTAATTTACACTTTCACCAGTAATATTTAGTATTATGTATCTTCTTGTTCATTCATTCATATTATTATTGACTCACAGATTTTCAAGTTTATTCAATGGGTTGTAATCTAATATCCTATTTACTTCCAGTTTTATTGAGGTATAGTTATATATAAGAATGGGTACGTATTTACAGCATTTAACCTGATGAGTTTTGTACACCTATGAAACCATTGCTACAATCAAGATAATGAACATGTCTATCAACTATGAAAGTTTTCTTGTGCCTCTTTGTGACCCATTCTTCCCTCTTCCATCCCCATCCTCAGGTAATCACTGGTCTACTTCCTGTCACAGTACGTGACATTTTGTAGAATTTTATATAAATGGACTCCTATACTGTGTACTCTTTTTGTCTGGCTTATTTCACTCAGCATGACTGTTTGGAGATTCATCCATGTTGTTGCCATGTATCAATACCACAGATTGTTTATCCATTCAGCTGTTGATAGACATTTGGGTTGTTTCCAGTTTTTGTCTACCACAAATTAAGTTGTTCCCATGGCAAAGTGCCTCCTCCCGTTCTTCTGAGACAACACCCATGAGCCCCCAGGATCTGGCCACAGAAGTCAGGACACATGCATCACCGCCAGGCCCCCTGACCCTCCCTCCCACTCCTACCTTTGTCCTGAGCTGTAGGGGCGCGGAGCGAATCGCTCCTCCCCTGAAGACCTTGGGCATGAGGGAGTAGAACCCAGCAAAGAGGCCAGGGATTTGTTCTCAATTTTTTTTAATAAATAAACAAAATCCACTAGATTGATGCAGCAAACTAAGGCCAGAGGAGAGGGTATATTAGGGAGGTAAGAGCCCCTGAGTCAGCAATGTAACCTCCTCCCCAATCCTATGGGCTAAGGCACTTTTGGGGAGATAGGTCCTTGGGGTCCTGTTACACTGGGCGAGTGAGGGAGGGAGGGATTAGGGTCCCCTCTCCCAACCTCTGCATCAGGACATTGCTGCCCTTCTCACCCTATCCTACAGCCCCATCCCTGATTCACCCCTCTCAGCTCACAGCATTCTAAGGGAACGTTCTGGGGGGCTCCTCCTGGAGGGAGAGGTCTATGGCCCTGAGGAAACAGATCCTACAAAATCCTGGTGGGACACCAGCAACCCACTCTACTGTCTTCATCCTGAGGAGCCGTCTCTGGGGACGGGATGGAGGGGACACATTGGCCAGGCTGGGAAGGGGGAAGCTAAGCAGTGCCTGGCGCAGGGTGCCCATCAGAGCCCAGCTCAGGGTGCCCATCAGCAGCCAGGATGGGGTGCGCGTCGGAACCCTCCCTCCGGGGGCTGCCCCAGTTGTTCCTCAGAATGGTGCCCGTCTTTTCCTCCTTGAACTGCTGTCGGTCTTCACGAGGGATCTTCACCGCGTGGTACTGGGGCACGGTGGCCTCGGGGTACCGCGCCCGCTTGAAGAATCCCATCTGTAAGCACAGCAGGCCAGACATGAGGAGCCTGCAGGACTGAGGTCCCTGGAGCAGAAGCCCAGCATAGCCCAGCTCCTTGCCTCCACCACCCCTGAGACGGAAAGAACCAACTGCCACAGAAAGGACATGGGTTGGACAGCGTCTAGTCCAGTGAGCAGCGCCCACAGGTGCCGCTGCCAGTGCTGAGTCCCCAGGGTCTCATTTACAGCAAGAGAAAGACCAGGAGGGGGCCCAAGGTACAAGACCAAGGACATCTCCCTTGGCACCTGAAAGAGGGGATTGAAGGTGGGACATCAGGACTGCTGACCCCCAAGTTTCCACCAGACCAAGATTTTTAGGACACCCACTAGCATTGCCCAGAACACAAATGAGATCTGAGGAAAAACATGGCTTCCTAGAGCCCTGCATACTCCGAAATGAGTCCTCTCAAGCCTCATACACATACACTTGAACACTGGGCAGCCTCCCTCTTAGGGCAGAGTCTTCTATCCATGAATATGGCAGCCTAGCCCCTTCCTAAATCATGAACAGACCTGCCCTTACAAGGTGGGAATGTGCCCCTTGCACACTCACACTCAGGGCTGCCAGAGACTCCCACATGCTCAGACTGCACAGACCTCCTTGCACATTTTTCTCTGCACACCCATGCCCAAGAAAAGACATGCATGGCACCTCCCTGCACTCCACATGCTCACACTCCAAGATCCCACCCAACCCTCTGTGCACGCCCCAGGCTGCATATACTCACTCTTATAAGCTCACTCTTACAGTTGTCTTCCACACCAGTTCCTACGACTCACCTCACCCTCATGCAATCTCATTTCTTCCCCCTGAATGTTCCTGGTCCCCTGAATGCTGGGCGGTCTACTAACACTCACATACAAACATACCCACACACACACACATATTTGTACACACATACACACACATGCACACAAAAATTACCCCACAGTCCCTGGACCCCCAGCTTCCACAGCTGAGGGCTGCACGGCCAGACGGGCCCGGTGATAGTTAGTGGGAAAAGATGAGTTCTGGCTGCTCCGACGGAAGAAGCCACACTGGGATGTCAAGGGAGGAGGGGAGCAAATGAGGGGGAGACGGGAAGACGGAGGAAGGATGGGGCCTTATTTCTGCTCTGTCCCCCTTCTGTAGGAGCAGGGAGCAGGGATCCTGGAGCCAGTCTCACGAAGGCATCAATCTTCTCCAAGAACGACCAGGTCCCCAACAGTTTGGATACTAGTCAACACTTTGACTCCAGAGCCAAAGGGTGTGTTTGGTCTGTCACTGGCTGGGGGCGGCACGGGAGGGTGTTCTCCACAGAGCCCCAAGGACGGCATGGTTGCACACAGCCTTGCTGTGGCATGGGCTTCCGGGGGAGACCGCTGGTGATGAATGTGATTCCCTGCACTGAGTGTGCTTTAGTGTAGAGCCCCAGTGCAAATGTGGTTCTGCCTATACTCGGTTGACAAGAATGGTTCCATGGATCATCTGGGATGTGGAAGCTCTGAGCTCAGCCTTGAGGGCAGTTTCCCGGGGGTAGTTCTCCACCCTGTTGGCCTTCATGGCCACAGTTTCCTTCCCGACCTTACCCTGTCATGTTCTAATTAAATCAGAACACACTTTCTTGCCTCCCTGAGTCGGCATCCCATGGTCCTTCTGGAAGGCCCAGACCTCACTCACTTCATCTCCCACATCCAGATCCTACTACCCCACCTTCTTCTAAGGCCCTGCTTCAGGGCCTCCTGCTCTCAAGCCAGCTCTCTGCTGGACTCTCATTGCACTTTCTTGACTTAATGCCTTCTGACTGCAAGGCTCCCCTCCCTCAAATCCCTGAAGGCAAGATCTGCATGGACTTCTGTCATGGCATCTCTGAAGTGTCGAGGACCTGACAGAGTCCCTGATACTCTGGGTACTCAGACGAGGTAAGTGCTCAGTACAGATTTGCTGAGTAAATGAGAGAGTGAGTGAGAACCACAGCATGAAAGGCCACCTGGGTGACAGGGAAGCCCAGCCCCCACTGGCCCCACCGTCCCCAAGCCTCACCTTCCACATGAGCAGCACCAGCAGCGCCAGCACCAGCAGCCCCGCCAGCACAGCCAGGAGGATGACCCACCACGGGACTCCTTCTGCCACCACAGCCACCGGGTCCAAGTACACCATCACTGGGATCTGGGGAGCAAAGGGTAACGGAGCAAGAGCTGGGGCAGCAGGAGAGGGGAGCTCCCCAACCCCACCTCCCAGCCCTGCAGCTCACCACTGTGGAGGCATCTGTGAGCAGCAGGTTCTTGATGGAGGACTTCACGGTGATGTTGGCTCTAACAATCACTTCCACGGACTTCACAGCGGAGTACTCCTAAGAGAGCAAGGAAGCAGGCCCTCCTCCTACATGCCCCCATCCCCTCACCTCCCCCCACCCCAGCTCCGAAACTGTAAATGGTGCCCAGCACAGAGGGTGTTCCTGCCTGTCTGGAGTTAAGAGTGTGCTGCCTTTGGACAGGGAGGAGGAAGAAGGAGAAATGAATCCTGGAGGGGCCGCTGGGGACGAGGACGGCCAGCCCACGCCTCAGCAGTGCTCTCACCTCCAGGAAAGTGCTGTTCCAGAGGCGGCCCCAGACGTGCAGCACAGCTGCTCGGTCAAAGCTGTAGAGCGGGCAACTGAACAACACGCAATTGGCCGTGCCCCGGTCGCAGTCCTGGGGGCCCAGACAGACAGGGCTCTGAGCTGCTGGGCCTGCCGAGAGCCCAGCATCCTCACGAATGCGGTCGCAGAAACGCAGAGTCTGCCCAGAGCCTTCATCCATCCTTCTGTGAGCCCCCGCACCTTGGACTGCTTTTCTCTTTGCTCCTCACTCATATCTCTATTTTCCTTACCCAGCCTCAAACTTCTGTCCTCCAGGAAGCCTTCCCAAACTAACCTTGTGGTCCAAACTAGCAGCTTACCCCAAATCTGGGCTACTGGTTTTGAAATGCATGAGGAGCAGGAGAAGGGCTCTTACTTCACAGCAGCTGGCAGAGCAGCTGCCCACAATTGATGCAGATGTCACCTAATGTTGTCCCCATTCATTGAGCATTTACTACCTGCCAGGTACTTATCTCATTTAAACGTTACAACTATTCTGCAAGGTGCCTATTATTATCATCCTCATTTTTCAAATTAGGAAATCGAGGCTCAAAGAGGCCAGGTGACCTACCTTAGGTCCCAGAGCTAGCAAAGCTAATAAGTGGTGGAGCACATATTTAAACCCAGTTCCATATTGGGCAAAGCCATATTCCTACCCCAAGTCCAAACTCGCTGCTGAAGGAAGAGGCTGCCACAGGAGCTGCTGGGGGACAAGGGGACTCAGGCCCTGCTCTTTCCAGGCCTGACCTATATCCATTTGACCTAATCCCACCTAATGATTCATTTACCTAAAAACTATGTTATATTCATCACACTTCATAGACAGAAGAATGGCTTGAGAGCGTTTGAATTCTGGGAGTTGTCTTCTGTTACCACTTTTGAGCAAATCAAGAACCTTTGGTCAATTTGCCTAAAAGCAAGGCCTTCTGCCTTAATTTGAAGTCAAAGAATTAATTTCAAAGTTCTTAGGAAAAAGTGGGGGTTCTGCCCTGGCTGGCGTGGCTTGGTGGATTGAGCACGAGCCCATGAATTCAAAAGTTGCTGGTTTGATTACGTGGCGGGGCACATGCCTGCGTTGCTGGCCAGGTCCCCACTAGGGGGCATGAAAGAGGTAACCAGTTGATGTATCTCTCTTACATGCATTAATGTTTCTCTCCCTTTCTCTAAAAATAAATAAATAAATAAAAATCTTTTTTAAAAGGAGGGAAGTTCTTTCAAAGGAAATTAGTCACGTGGAGAAGGTAAGACTATCCATACAACAGGGAGAAACAGCAATTACACAAGTTCACCTTACCCCCAGACACCTTCATTTGCCTCCTGCCTGCTCTCCTGTCTCCCAGACAGAAGGGATAGGGTGTGACAGGGGAGTTCCCTCCCAGACAGGTGACACCAGAGCTGGCCTGACTGCTTACATTCCCCTGCAGTCTCTGCAACTCCTTGCCTCTATTGCCCAGGTACATCCATACCTGGGTTTCACCGGCTGGAAACCAGCCAAATACCTCCTTAATCTGTGTCCCCCCCGCCACTCTCACTGCCAGCACCATTCTCAAAGGAGGAGCACAGAGCATGTGCCAATTTGCTCCATGAATCCATTTAAATAACAAAACTAGGTAAAACAAGCAGGAAAAAGGGAGCAAAACCAATCTAAAGGGGCAGACTTAACGTATCACGCATAATATACTATAATTAGAACTTTTTAAAACTTAAAGTGTTTTTGACATTGTAAAAATCAAACAGATTTTCTTACACAGATTGACTTCTTTTTCCTAAAAGAGTTCAAAAGAACAACAAACAGATCTCAAAGGTAGCTAAAACCATCCCACCCATATAAAACGTTGCCTTTGGTGTAAATGTGAGCATAGAAGGCACAGCTAACTGCCGTGCTCTGGAAGAAGCACTTGGTGGGGGCGCCGGGGGGCCTGCGATAGCAGCAGCTGCTTCACAGGTGTGACGGGAACTGTCCGTCACCCCTCTCAGCAGGCCAGCCTCCCTGGACATGAAGCTCCATGCCCCCAGCACCCTCTCTCACACCACCACCCACCCCCATTCCGCCTGCACCTCACTTGCCCTGCACCCACCAGGGTGATGTTCTTCTTCTTCTCCGCAGAGGACACCGGCCACCAGGATGTGCTAGGCTCCCGCCGCTCACGAGGCTCTTGCGGCTCTGGCTGTTCCAGCTCTCGACGCCTCCTGTCCCTGCTGTCTACATCCTGGATGTGGGGAGGGGTCCCAGTGAGTGTCCCTCTAAAATAACAATCCTGAGGTGGCATCTCCTCCCCGGTGCCTTCCTCCTGGCCCCCCCCCACCCGCACATGCCCAGCCCCATGAGGCCCTTCCCAAAGCCTTAACGCCCTCCACCCTGCTTCAGCAGCCCTGCCCGCACTGCCTACGCCTCACCAGGTGGAGGATGTTGGGCCTGGGGGAACAAAGCCCCTTCTGCCCAGGCCCCTGCCCGCCCTCCAGCTCCACGCGCATAGGGTACAGCAGCCACTTCCCGTTGGCAATCTCGTGGGGCCACATGATGTTGAGGAAGGCAGAGCCAAGGGTGTTGAGTGACTGGCCCTGGTTGGAGACCTGTGGGCACAGAGAGTGTGAAGTGAAGGAGCTCAGTTTCTGAGCGGCTCTAAATCAGCAGATTTGGAGAGGACAGGGTTGAGGGGAGGGCCACAGGAAGCACAGTTTCAACAGACTCAGGACCCTAGACCCCCCCAGGCACCATTCTCCACCTGCCTCTAACCCAGGAAAACCTGGAGATATCGCTGGCAGGTGTGGGAATCCCCAGCAAAGCCAGAGCAGAGTTCTGGGGAGAGGCATCAGCCCACCCACCATGTTCCCACCCCCCAGCCGAGGCCCCAGACAGAGAAGCTTCCCTGGGTTCTCATAGCCTCCCCAGACCAGCAGGTGAGATACTCAATCAGAGATGACCAGGCAATGATCCACTGAGGTCCCTGAGCAAATGCCTGTCCACAGCCAACGTCCAGGAGCAGGGGTAGGCCTTGACTTCGCCATACAGCGGAAGAGCCCCATCCCTTGGGACATGCCTCAGCGTCTCCTCCATGCCAAGGAGTGAGGACCATGAGGGACCGCATACCAGGACACTTACCATGACCTCATACTTGACCTTGCTGCCCACATCCTGCTCAGACCTCATGGCCATTTCACCCCGCACGACGCCAGAGAAGAAGAGCTGCTGGGGAATGGCCACCCTAGAGAAGAGGGGCCAAACGAAGACTGATGAGGCCTGGGACCTGACGGAGGGTCAGGGGCAGAGCCCAGGCCTGGGTTTGGGAGTGGCGATGCTCGCCCCTCCAGCGCAGGTCCCCACCAGGACAGGGCTTACCCTGTGATGGACAGCGGCAGCTCAATGAAGACATGGGCCCGGACAGAGACCGGATGTAGCTCCTGCTCGCTGATCCTGGTGTGTAGGCAAAGGCGGGAGTGGGCAGCAGACACAGGACATGCCTCCGAGGGTCAGCCCCTTCTAGATGGACATCAATTGCACTCTTCCCGGCCTTATCCCACCCCAGCCCCGCCAGGCTTACGTGGCCAGCAGCAGCTCCACCTCCAGCTCCGTAGTCTCAATGGTGATCCCTGAGGTGCTGAGGATGAGGTAGAAGGTGATCTAGGCCAAGGGTGGGGCTAGATTAGAGTCAAGGGAGGTCAGGGGCTTGAGGAGGGTCCGGGGTTAGAGGCCACTCGGGGATAAGGGCAGACGTGCCAACCTGGGCGCCTCTCTTCATGGGGTTCCCCAGCTCACACTCAACGTGGGAGGCATTCTCATCGGACACGCACAGCGGCTTCTCCTGGAGTGCGGAGAGACGGAGAGGTCAGTCTGGGTTACTGGAGACTCCCAGGACCACGCCCCTCTGCCTGGGTCCTCACCGCAGGGTCCAGGGCCCGCACTCCTGAGTAGTGCAGAGAGGCAGGGAGGCTGACCAGGAGCTGTGCTTCATGGGCATCATCCCCATCAGCCTGGGGCTGTGCTGGGTCCGAGGGCAGATTAGTAACCTTCAGCTCCAGGCCGATGAATGGCTGCCCACTCAATGCAAACAGGGCTGTTGTCCCATCAGCATCCCTGGAGGGTCAGACCCCGCTCACTCTAAGATAGAAACACCTTCCCCTGCCCCACCCAGTCTTACCTCCCCACCCCCAGGCCCCAGGGAATGCCGCTGACCTCCACTCCCTGAGCCTCTGCCCCTACCAGTCCAAGCCCCAGGTCTTCCCCACATGCCAGACACCCAGACTGGGAGTCAGGGGGCCTCCATCCTGGACCCGGCTCCACCACTGACCTACCTCTCTAGGCCTCTGTTCTCCATTTATGAAGTGGAACTAATAATAATTCCTCCCTCACAGGGTTGTGAAGACTAAACAGTGAGATGCACTTAAATCACACATTATTACATGCACGGTGAAGGAGTTACTCCTTACCAGGGGCGCACCCGCGGCCCCGTCACTGACCCCCATCTTCAGTCTACGGAATTTTCAGCAGGTCCTCCTCAGCCTTCCACCCTCCTCTGCAGGACCCCCCCGGCCTGGCCCTCCTGAGGAGCTCCCTTCCATCCTTGACCTCCTGCCTGCCCACCCCACCTGCTCCCTCGCCCCCTCTCACATGGGCAGAGGCTGGAACTCCATGTCGCTGACCCGGGCACAGAAGCGAGCGTGGACCAGCTGCAGATTGCTCTGACAGATTTTATCTTCACCACAGCCTTGCTTTAGGAAATGGATCTGGGGAGAAATTTGAGGAGAGGGTCATTCCTAAAGGGTGAGGAGGGGGCAAATGTGTCACTAAAGCATATGGTGGGGTAGGCATCACAGGATTACACAACCTGGGTTCAACTCCCAGATCTGCTGCTTACTAGCTTTGTGATATTGAGCTAGTCACTTAACCACTCTGAGCTGTGTCCTCACCAATAAAAGGATAGGAGTATTATGATGCCGTGATAGAGACTAGCAGGCTGGTCCACAGCAAGATCACATTTCCTGGCCTTCCTTGCATGTAACTGAGATACAGATTCCGAAGGTGGAGAGAAAGTGGAGCGCCACTTCCAGACTGACCATGAGAACTGTATAAGGAGCTTCATGCTCCTCTCTCCCAGGTCAACAGCATAGACATGGCCTTAGGACCGTGGAGGCTACATTTAAAGATGGAAAAGCCCCCATCGACCTGGGCCACTGACTGACCACGGAATCGAGGGACCCTGTACCGCCTGACTAGGAACACATGATCAGCTGGGCCACTCTCCATTTGGGATTCTAGTTGTTACAGCACCTAGAGATGTGAGGAGCTCCTGGAGAAACCTGTGAAAGAACTTTGCAAGCCATGAGTGAGTGTCACTGGTGAGGGGCTACGATTGTCGCTCCCCTCAGCTCCTTCTTCGGGGCTACACCAGAACCATGCTCACCTCTGCCCGCTGGGTGCTGGGCTGGTGGACATTGAGAATGGGGGCCACTGGGAGCAGCCCCTGGCCAGGAACCTGTCGCCGGAGCCGAGGGGCCTGAAGACTATAGGAAAGGGTCACCACAATGGCCCGAAGCTTGTCTTTAACATTCTCCTGGAAAGGGGGAAGATGGGAGGAACACAAGAACAATGCTCAGGCCCCAGCCCGGCCTAGGACACATTCTGAAACCTGGAAAGAAGTTCAGGGAGATGAAGGAGAGAAGCGGAGAACTGAGCAAAGAGCAGGGAGGGCAACTGAGGAGAAGGGAAGAGGCCGAAGATTTAGGGCTTTGAGAGCCAGACGCGGCAGTGGACCCTGCCATCTCCATCTCCAGGGAGCACAGAACTTGGCAGGAGACATAAGAAGGCAACAGCTGAGGAGGACAGCCAACAGCGGAGGCTCCCAAAGGTCAAGCTCTCAGAATGAGGTGTGAGTGTGTTAGGGAAGAAGCGAAGAGGAACCAAGGCAGAGATCATGCGATGACTATGACCCTCAGAGGCCAAGGGGTCAGTGTCCACCTGTAACTGAAACATGGTGTCTTCACAGACTCGGTCATGCTGGTGTTTCAGCCACACAGTGCCCATGGCCTGGTGCTTAGTGTCATCCCGGCCATGGCTCAGGAAGGTCACTCGGGGAACCTGGCCCCGGAGCCTGCGGTCTGTGTCCCCATCTAACACGTAATCCAGGGCTGTAGCACATGGGGAGAGGAGAGGAGACAGTGAGCTGCGGGGCTGCTTCAGTCTGACCCAGTTCCCAGGGGCCCCTCTTTCCACCTTGAGCCCTCCTTTCCCCACTGAAACCCAACAGGGTAGGAGATGGGAAGGGGACCCCACTCACCCACAACAGGGCTATAGCTGCTGGGGGTTGCAACGTAGCTGAAACAAATGCTTAGGTGCACACTGTGGAGGGGCAAAGGGTGGCTCTTGAGTCAGGCAAAGCCCCACCTCCACCCTGCCCACTCCTGAGCCAACCGCAGCCCCCAGTGCCAAATGAGGCAAGGAAATGGAGAAGGGAGAGAGGCCTAGAGGCCATGGAAGTCCCCACCCAGCCTCCCTCCCCTTGGATCCCCCCTCACCAGACCAAGTGGCCATCAGCACAGTTGGGCTGTTCTAGATCAATGACTCGTGGAGCAATGGAGACCTCATGGGACACATGGAGGACGGGTCTGGCCCTGGGGAATGGAGAGTTAAAGGCACAAAAGAACATAAGAACATGGGGCTGAGAAATTGGGGGGACAGACTCTTCAGCATCAGATTTTGCGCGAGTGGGGCTTACAAACTCAGGAGGGGAGAAGGCGGGCGGCAGGGCGGGGAGGCGCTCACCTGAAGAGCACAGCAGTGTCGGCCAGGGAGCCCACCAGCAGGTCAGGGTAATGGTTCCCATCCACGTCCAGGCCGCCCGACAGAGAGTAGCCAAAGCTCTTCACGCTCACGGCCTCACCCTCCAGCACCTGCAGGACCTGCCTGTCAGCTCCCCCACCCACCTCTGCCTCCGACCTCTGCCTCCTCCCCGGCCCTTGGCTGCTATGCCCCCTTATTTCACCCACACCCACTCCCTCATCCCAACAAGCCCCCTCACCTGGGAAGGGTTGACAACAACCCCCAGGCTGCTCCCGTGGTAGATAAAGACTTTCCCATCCCCATCAAAGGGAGCACCCACTGCGAAATCTGTGGGCGAGCAGAAAGGACAGGCAGGTTGTGGGGGCCAGGGTGACAAGGCCCAGGCCCCAACTCTCCCTCCATCACTCAGTTCCATATCATATGTATTCTTCCATTTTATTGAGAGGCCACCAAGGCCCGGGTACCTTACACACACCATTTTAATAGCTACTCTTTGCAGCTGTTACTAGCTCAGAAATGTTAGGTAACTTGCCCAAGATCATAAAGCTGGTAAATGGTAAAGTTCAGGTGTGAGCCCATGTCGCTTCTCTCCCTGAGCCCTCCAAAGACCTCCCCTTGACCTCTGAGGCACTTCCCTGTCCCTGTGTCTGCCCCTTCCTCTCCTGAGCCTTTCCAGTTCCCAATCACACCTGGGAAGCCATCTTGGTTGAGGTCCCCGAGGACAGCCAGACTGATCCCAAACATGGAGTCGGGGGAGCCGGAGAGCCGAAGCGGGGAGACGCCATCCCAGTGACCCCCCTGGTTCATGTACACATACACAGCACCCCCCAGCTCTTTTTGGCGCTCGAAGAAGTAGGGAGCACCCACTATCAGGTCTGCCCAACTACGGAGAGAGAGACAGTCAGTGTGGGGTCCCGCCCAGCCGGGGGAGTCAGGAGGAGATGCCAGAGGCCCCTCAGACTTCCTGGACCCCGCTCCCCCCAGCTCCACTCCCCTCTGCCCACTCACCCATCATTGTTGAGATCAGCCACAGCCAGTGAGTAGCCAAAGCCGGAGGTCAGGCCCTCGCCAGACAGAAGAACTTCAGGCACCAGGCGACTGGCACTGTCTTTGCGCAGAATGACCACAGCCCCCTTGTGGTTGGCACGGGGGGCCCCTGCCACAAAGCTCAGCTCCTCCGCACGCACCAGACCCTTCCCTGAGTCGATGGAGAAACCTGGGCAGGGGCGACCTCCCAGTGAGCATTCTCCATAAGGCTCAGGAGCCAGGGTGTGTCGCAGTCCCCGCCGCCCCCTCCTCACAAGTCTGGAGCCAAAGATGCAGGCACCTTCCAAGTTATCACCACCACAGCCGGACCTCTCCTCCCCCTACAGAGGCCTAGTAACCCCCCACACCCAGAGACTGGAGTTTGGCACAAGTAGTGCAATGAGGTCAGCCTCAGGGACTGGGGAGGAAAGAAAAAGGCAGTGGCTGAGAAGCCAGACGCTGGGCAGGAGTGAGCGCACTGGCAGGAGCTGGGGCAGGGCCCCACCCCTACAACTCCCAGAGAACTGCTCTCCCCTCTGCACGCCCCGGAGGCCCCTATCCTACCCAGCGCACCTTCTTCGCCCCTACTCCCACCATCCTAACAGATATGGGAAGAGCTTCCTAGCAGAGTGGGAAAGAGCTTCATTCACCCAAATTTCTCCCAGGCCTTGTTTCCTCCTTCTCTGCAGTAGGATGCAGATAAGACAATGAGACAGACTTACCAACACAGCTAGACTTTCCTCCAGCATGTGCCCACCATCCGTCACTGAGAAAATGTCCCCCTAGCGATCTGGCCTCTTTCCTTCCCAGAACGGTCTCTGCCCACCTGGTTCTTTCTCCACGGAGACCCCTGTTCACAGCCCCTTAGGTTCTCCCCCTTGGGACCTTTTCTTCTCAGGCCTGGTCACTGGGCCCAGCTTGTCTCTGGGTGTGTGTTGGGGTGGGGCAGAGCAGGAGTGGAGGGGAAGCCAGGTCAAGCCCCCAGGGCCCAGTAGGACGTGGGTGGGCGCTTACAAACCTAAGTAGCTATTCAGGGCCAAGTCTCTGGCTGGTCCTGGGAGCCGGTCAGCAGGGTCCAAAGTTTTATACACCAGCTGGTCGGGGTCTGAGCTATCAATGTTGGTCACAAAGAGCAACCCTGTGGGGGTCAGGGAAGGGTGGGGAGGAGAGAGACACCAGGGAAAGAACATCCAGAGGAGGCGCCACAGAGTGGAGAAACAGAGCCAGGCACAGAGGCAGGAAGAAGAGGGAGAGGTAGAGAAAGAATAGGAGAGAGACAGAGGCCAAAGGGATGGGAACAGAGACAGAAAGACAGAGACAGAGATGGAAGGGTGGGAGCGTGGAGAGGGAGGACAAGAGAGAGGAGCAGAGGGTTAGAGTGACTCTGGGCCAGGAGGGGTCCCTACCAAAGTAGCTGTTGGCAGGGACCGGGATGAGGCGGGGGTCCTGCTCCTTCTCACCCCCCGCCTCGTAGGGCCCGTCGTCCAGGTGGGCCAGGTCCGCTGAGCCCTGCGCACAGAGCTCCACCCTGGCAGTGCCTGCAAGGACAAATCCGTTAGTGCCCAGGGCAGGGAGCGAGGAGCACCCTCTAGTCTGGATGCTAGTTAGACAGTCACACAGGGAAGCCACTCCTCTCCTTTCCAGCCCCATCTCCACCCCCTCCCAAGCTTCCGGGGTCCCACAGACTTGGCACACACTCACCGAGTGTCAGCTCAGCCAGCAGCAGCGTGTGGAGACGGGAATGGGAGTGATGAGGTGTGGGCTGGGGTGTTGGTAGGGAGGACCAGCCGTGCGTGTGGGGCTCATGCCAGCGTGTTGAGGAACACTCCGCCATGCGAAGGAGAGGAGATCCCTCCATTCGTGTGTATGCTGGCACGGTGGGGGTGCAAGGCGTGGCAGTGCCCCGGGACTACATGGCAGTGAACATGTGGGCATGCTTGGCCACATGCTGCCCCCTGAGGTAAGAGGACGGTTTGGTGCCCTTCTCCCCTCCCGGAGGAGTGACTCACCCTTCCAGTTATAGGTTCCCGGGGCCCCAAAGAGGAGGTAGTGGCTGTCGGGGGAGAAGGCGGCAGCTGCTCCCTGCTGGCAGAACCCAAATTGTTCATGGCCCTGGGGACGCCCTTCACAGAACTTCCACTCGCCACCATCCAATTCGTCATGGATGGCCAGGTCCTGGCTTAGCACAAAGCAGCGACCAATCACGTCCCTTGTCTCCAGGATATGGTCCACTCGTTGCCTTGCCTCGTATCTGTGTGCACAGGTCTGCAGGAGGAAGGAACCTTCCACTGGGTGAGCCAGGGACATTCTAGAGCCAAGCTGCCCACATGCAGACATTTGGCAGACGCTGGTTCATGTGTGCGTACCCCACACACACACACACACACACACACACACACACACACACGGCAAGCGCCTACGCTGGCATCCCCTGAGCACCACCCCGAGCCCAGTGTTAGGCAGGTATATTCACAACCCACTATCCCATCAGCACCCGCCCCCTCGCCCTGTCAGGAAGAAGTCCATGTTCCACATTTTGTCTGGGCACACAGAGGCATAACTAAGCCAGCACACACAACCCTTGTGCCTCCATGATCACACCAACATGACAAGTTTGGTCCTGTTCCTGGCCCTTTATGTCATCATCTTGTCTGCGAAGAACTTCCTCCCCTCTCCACTCTCCAACTATAGCTTATTCTTGAAAGCCCAACTCAAACCACCCCATCCTCAGGCATCCTTTCCCTCCACTCTTCCTTCAGACTCTGATAGACGGAGGACTATACCACACGCTTACCATTGACCATACCTTGTCCCATCGTGACTTGTATTAATAATTGCATATTTGTGCATATTAGTGAAATGTTACAGAGAGAGACACACACACAGAAAAGGAAGGGATGAGGATCTCCATATATGCAGCAGGTTACTTGAGTTGTGCATCAAGCTTTTCTCTGTCTTTACATATCCTCTCTCGGTAGCTAGCACAACGCCTGATGCTTAAAAGGCTCTCAGTAAGAGTTTCACAAATGGATGGATGGATGGATGGATGGATGGATGGATGGATGTTAGATGGTTTAAATTTATAAGGGCTAATACACTTACACCCCATATCTTACACTTTCTTATATCTCCTTGAGGTCCTGGGAATCAGACCATCCTACCAAATGCCCAACCTGTGCTCTATAAGCACGTCTGTGCATAGGCACACACCACACACACACCACCGCCACCCTGGCATACGGTCACAGCAGAGGTGCTCACCACAACTTTGCCTCCAGGACCCTGGCTCCGAACACTAACTCCCAACCACTGGTTCTCCTTGCTCTCCTTCTGCACATCAGCTGGAGGCAAGACACTGGGAATTACGGGAGGGAAGAGGAGGCCAGGACCTCTCCTCCCCTCCTCGTGTGCTACCTCCACTCCCCCCGCCACAGGGCCCATACCTCCCCGGTCAATGTCCACTCTGTAGCAGTCAGTCTCCTCCAGGCTCAGGGGGCAAGCGAAGAGGCCTCCGGTGCGGTTTGCCTGCTGCCCAGGCAGAGCCAGAGCCTGGGGAGCACCCACCAGCAGCCTACACGGTGGGGCAGAGGCAGGAGTTAGCAGACAAAATCTCCAGTGCTCCCACTCCCCCGTGCTCCCGGTGCCAACGCCTTAGTACCCAGCAGTGTTGAAGGGCTACAGACAAGGGCCAAAAGTCAGTTTCCCAAGTCCTGACAAGAGCAGATTAATATATTTGGCCAAGCAATCATCATATTACATATGCACATACTATCTGGATGAGAGACCACATGCATAGTAGATACACACACACACACACACACACACACAAACACACACACACACACACACACACACACACACACAGCAACCAAAACAGCCTGGCCAGCACTCCTAGTTTGAAAGAACCGCCTGTCCCAGCACCTGTTCCTGACCAGGCCTTTCCTACCCACTCCCTGGCCCCATCCCCAAACTCTGCCCCCCTCCCCAGTCCTATTGAAACCTTCCCAGAAATGCCAAGAATGCTGGGAGCAAAAGTAACAGGGGCCCAGACTGGCACCACGAGGTGGCCCAAGGATCAGCTTTGAAGGCCAAGCAAGAACCCAGATATAGGCTCTTCCCACCCCTTCATCAGGACCATGTCAGAGACCCCACCCCCAGCAAACCTGCCAGCCCAGGAGTCTGTCAGTCACTCTAGCCAACACCAAGGCAGGGGCAAATGTCTCATCTGATCTCCAATGGTCCCTCTGTTCTCCCCTCACTTCCTGAACCCCCTTTCCCATCCTTTCTTCTCCTCCCCACAGCTACAATTTTCCCATTCCTCTCGCCCCACCCCACTCCCACCCCCTCCCAGTCTTCTCTCCTACCTCCCCCTCAGACGCTTTCCCAGCTACAACTTTCTTGGCAGGACAATTTTCCATAATCACAGCCAAGGCTTCTTCCCTGAGAGAGGACTGTGCTGGGAATGGAGGCTGCCTGGGTCCCTTGAGGCTGAACCCTTGGGCCAGGGGTGGAGGAGGGGGTGAGATGAGGTGATTGTCACCCAGCTGGCTACAAGGATTCTCGTTTTGAAGAAAGAGAGACTCAAAAGTGGCAGCAGGGCAAACGTCAAGGCCTCTCTCCCACACTGTTTCCCTCCATCCCCCTTCCCGGGGGGAGGCCCAAAGCTGTGTGGGGCAATACTGCAGACAGGCATCTGTGGGGCACTGTGCCATTTCTGGTGGGGCGGGGGGGGCACAGAGCCATTCTCCCTTCCCGCAACTCCTCTTCGTCTCTGCCCAGCTGTCATGCCATGTCAGAGCCAGTGTCAAGAAAGAGAGAAGGGGGGTGAGGGGGAGTAGTGGTAGGGAAGAGCACGGCATGCATGCAGCATTTGTTAACAACTATTTATTGAAAACTTATCTGCCGAGCCCTGTGTCAGGCACTGGTGAGACAAGGAAGGAATACTCATTCAGCACCTACTCTGGGTCAGGCCCTAGGCTAAATGCCAGGGACATGAGACACAAACATTTACCACTCTCTTCCTAGGTGCTGGGGCTAGGCAAGTTACATGCATTATCTCAATCTTTACAACAATCCCAGGTAAGGCTCCTTTTCTGGTCTTTCAAAAGAGGACTCTCAGAGCCCTTAAATAGTATGTGGGAATTCAAACGCACATCGGCCTCACTCCAATACCCGTGCCTTTTCACCACACCCAGTGACAGGCCATCTCCAGAACACTGAGACCCCTCCAGAAAGGGGTGACTCGGTTGGAGCATCGTCCCATACACCAAGAGGCTATGGGTTCAATTCCCTGTCACGTACCTAGATTGCAGGTTCCATCCCCAATTGGGGCAGATAAGGGAAGCAACATATCACTGTCTCTCTCCCTCTCTCCCCCTCTCCCTTTCTTTCTCGCTACCCTCCTTCCTCTCTCTCACAAATCAATAAACATATCCTCGAGTGAGGATTTTTTTTAAAAAAGAGAGAAAGAAATCGGGCAGCACGGTCAACCTTCTGACAGGTCTGCAGTAATGCCAACACAGAGATGGCCATCTCTTAGAGGAGGGGAGTTGTCATACTCATCTCTGCGCTTGCCCCATAGGAGGCTGAACCGCACTTCATGTGGACTCACAGAGACAGCCAATGTCTCAGATGGTCAGAGCATAGCTAAGCACCAGGAGAAGCTAACAGCCAGTGTTCAGTGTTCACATCTCCTCTGGAGGTCAAGAGGAGAGAAGAGTGGGGAGGAGAGGGGTTTACAGGGAGGAAAGAAGTTGAGCACAAGAATCCACCCAGCCCTACCCCTGGTGAACAAACCAGCCCATCCTTCCTGGAACAAGAGTTCCCACACACAACCTCGCTGGTCCCTCCACCTCTATCCCAGCCACTCACTTCCTGGCTTTATCCCATGATCCCCAAAACTCCAGGGCTCTGGACAGAACAGTAGCCACAGCTGCAGCCACTGCAGAGAGAAAAGCAAAAACACATTGGCAGCTGGGGCAGAGGGACTCCCCGGGAGCTGGGCTAAGTGAAGAGGAAAGAGAAGCCCATGACCACTACACCTCTTAGTTCCCCATGCACTCCAGGCTCCAGCCCAAATCCAACCCTCTCTCACTCTCTCTTCTAGGTGGCCTTCTGCAGAGTGTTGGGCCTGAATGAAGGCTGGCTCAGCTTGGGAGTGCTCTAGCCAAGCCTTTAAATCGGGGCTTGCTGTAAGGCGCTAGAGCTATTGTCTAGCTCTGTGGATCCCAATACAGGAATTATAGCTCTCAGTATGGGCCCTGCACTATTCTAAGCATTTCACATGCTGGGGAAGCAGACCTGGAATTCAAAAGCTGGGAATAAGCAAGGTACTTGGTTTCCCACAGGCCAAAAGGCAGCAGAGCGCCCCCTGCTGGAGCACAGCCAGGGGTTAGGCAGTCAGGCCCCTGGGGGAATGCCCTCAGCTTGACTCGGGGAGACAGAATCAGGGGCCACCTTCAGAGATGAGGGGGAAATGACAAGAGACCGAGCTATTAAAAATAACCTAGAATTTGCCTGGAAATAGCTCAGAGAGTTCAGCATGTCCTAAAAAGGCCTCCAGTTCTGGAACTCTGGCAGATGGGGGAAGGGGGAAGGGAGACAGATGAGGGAGGAAGCAGACAGAAGGCAAAGAAGAGATGAAGTCAGTGGCTTTCTATCTTTTCCAAACTTTGGGACCCTGCTCCCCAATGACAGGGATAATGACAGAAAAAAGATCAGAGCTAGCTTCCCCCACCCCCGACTCTCCCTGAGCAGGAAAAGAGAAATGAGCTCTTGTCACTACCCTCTGCCCCCAGGCCAATAGTAGCAGGGAGAAGATAGTCCCTGTGGATGGCATTGATCCCAGTAATGGACAGTTACTGTGGCTTAGGCTTGGCCCAGGAGAGAAAAGCCCTTTGGCATTCAGCACCATTCAGCGTCTTTGGCAGGAGGGGGTGGGAAGCTCTCTTCCCCTTCTTGTCTCTCTTTTTAAAACTATACATGTAGCTGGAGCAAATAGTACAGGAAGCATGACAGTTACAGGCCCCTCACAAGTGTGTCCTTCTCCTATGGGTCCTGAACTGATTAGAAAATAACCAGAATTGTCCTCTGCCTTTCACTCCTCCTTGCCTTCCCCTGCTGCTGAGGTTCCTGGAGTTGGAAATTTCCTGAAGATGAGGGAGGGGAAGGGCCTGGCCAGCATCCTTCCTGGATCTCTCTGTCTCACTGCTGCGACAACTTTTGGGGGCTCTGTTTTCTGCCACTATCACTAAAACACCTAATGCAGGTTGCCGACCCTGCCAGGTTCTCTGCCAGCTTTCCAATGGTCTTGAGCCACAAAAATGGCAGGTCTTTCCTGCCTTCCCAGTGTCCTGCTGCCCTGGTTCCATCCTATGGCCATGCACTGGCAGGAAGTTATTTCTGGAGTCTACCCTCTCCCCATCCAACGGCACCTTTAGGCTCTGTCCTTCCCTCTCTTCCTGTCCTAAGAAGAGACAGCATGCTCGGTCCTCCCCGCTGAGGGAATTCAGCCCTCTGAAGAAGGAGGAGAGCCACACACCCTGGGACTGGCGCAAGGATGCAAGTGGTGGGGAGAGGGGGGATGGAGGAAGCAGAGGAAGATAGCCCCTGCCAAGACAAGAACCGTGCTCTCCAACTCATCCCCAAAGCAAGAGCCTGGGTCTCGGGTTTTGAGCATAACCTCCAGATCAGAGACAGATGGGGCAAGGCTCCAGACTGGGGTGCAGGATATCTGTGGACAGCCGAGTCTTAGCGGGGTTCGAAGACTGAGAGATGAGGTGGGGTGGGGAATCTGTGGCTCGGACACAGGGACTCCGGGCGGGCGCCGTGACTCACCAGCTCTGGGGTCGGGGCTGTAACTGGCGGTGCAGAGCCACAGAGAAGCCGAAGAGGCTCCCCGGCTCACCCTCCTTGCGCAGGGCACCCATCACATCCAGATTGAAGGCGACAGCCCCTGGGGAAAGCAGTCCGGCTAGCAGGGTTCCAAGAAAGTAACAAATCCCCGGGAGCCCCCAAGGATCGCGGTCCCGAGTCCTGGCCATGGGCGAACCCTGTGTGCGCTTCCCACGGGCGCAAGGCAACGCGGTAGCACCCCGAGCACCAGGTCTCTCAGACGGGAGCCGAGTCTCGAGTCTTGGTGGTGTTCAGGGGTCTCCCAATCTTTCACTGCTTCACCGCCACCAGCACGCTGGCAGGACTGCTGCGGGATCTGCATCCACTGGGGCTCCCGCCTCCGCCCCCCGGGCAACGCCCCGCCCCACCCTCGGCCCGCCCCCCAGCTCCGCGGCAGGTGGAGGCCGCAGGCGAGAGCACTAAGGGATGCCCGGGCGGTCGCCCAGGCTGGGACCTGGCTTCGCTCCCAGGTCCCCCAGCCACGCCCCAGCTTCGCCCCAGCTCCGCCCCACTGCGCTGAGCGCTCCCTTCTTTCCCTCCCTCCTGCCCGAGTCTGTAAGGGGTGGAGGCGGCGCCTGGGGCGTGGGGAACTAGAGAGGGACCGAAAAAGAGAAAAAGAGGGTAAGAGATGAGGAATGGATGAGGCTAAAAGAGTCTGAGAAGACAGATCAGCAACAGAAAGAGAGGAAGTGAAAGGGGAGTGGTCTCGAGGCTGGGTCCCCTGTGGTCCCTTAACACTCCCTTCTCCTCTTGGTCACATGGAACACATCTCAAGCTGTTCCAATCAAACCGCTTCCCACCTCTTCCCATACCACCGCCCAGAGCCTGGCAGTGACACAGCGTCCGCATTCAAGGGGAGAGAGGTAAAGACTGACAAGAGATAGAAAAATTCAGCAGGCCTGGGGAAAGGAGCAAAGGAAGGAGATAGAAAGAAAACAGAAAAAATAGATGGAGAAAGAAGGGCAAGAGTTTGATCAACAAAAGATGGGAGAAACGAGGAAAAAGACTGAGGGTGAAGGTGGCAGAGGAACATAAGCTGGGAGAATGGGGCTGCCAAAGGAAGGCAAGGATAAGAGATTGGACCCAAGAGGCAGAGGGATGGGTAGGATGTCCCCTGCTCCCAGACCCTTTCCTGGACTGTGCATTTCCCACCCTCCAAAGGGAAGAGGATTGGAGGGGGCAGAGTCCTCAGCTGGCCCAGGCAGGAGCTGGGTGGGGCTTCCCAGGGATCTCTCCAGAGGGACCTGCAGGCCTGTCTTCCTCCTCTCCCTTCCCCCCAGGCTGAGGCAGAATCAAAGGGAGGGGGGACATTTTCCAACTCTCTGCTATTTATAACTCCAATCCAGAAATGGGGCCTAGAGGAGAGATAGGAAATAATTTGGCACAACTGTAACCTCGCTTGCTCCCACCTTCCCTTCCTAGTCTTCTCACTGGGCGTTGGTCTTGTGTATATCCCTATGTCCATCTTTTCCCTCTCCTCTCTTCTCCTCTCTCCTCTCCTCTTCTCTTCTCTTCTCTCTCTCTCTCATCTATCTATCTCCCTCTCTTCCTCACTCTAGTTTTGTCTCATCCCAAACGCGACGTTCCCCGTCCCCACCCCTGCGCTTGGAATCTTCCTTAGACTATTTCTCAATGTTTCTAATGCATTAGTTTTATCTGCCCCTCAAATGCTGTCATATTTTTGAGATTCTGTCATCTCCCTCCCTTTCTCAAAAGCCACAAAATGTGCCCTACCTAGTTCCTCATCACATGCTCCCTTTGTCTCTTACTTCTTTGTCCAAGAGTGCACTTTTAAACAAAAAAAACAAACAAGTAGACTCTCACTCTGCTGGCCCATCGAGTATCTTTCTCTGGGTAAATTACTATACATTTGAAGGTTTGTGCCTCCGTATTTACACTACACTGGTGGCCGTCCCCTCCAGGGGACTAGGCAACCTCTAAACAGGTGGTACTAAGGAAATGCAAGTGCTCCCAGCGGCTGGCACTGGATCCTACTGTTATTAACCCCCAGATACGCTCTCTCCCTCTCTTTCTACTTCAGAGCCACAGGCAATAGAGAAGAGCTGATATGAGAACGCAGAATAGTAAAATCAAGATAGGAACCGGGACTCCTGACTCTGAGCTGACCTACAGCCAGGGTCAGAACGCCTTCAGAGCTCAGGCTGCCTTCCTTTCTGCACCTACAGCTTCTGCCTGCCTCCAGCTGCACTCCACTGGCTCCTGCTAAATCTGAGGCTGAAATCAGATGCCAAGAATCTGCTTCTGACCTCCTCTGCCCAAATATTTGAGAAGTCACCTCACTGCCACAGGAGGAAAAAGGAAAAGAGAGCGAAAGGCTGCCCAAAATTAGCCTGCCTATAAATAGTGGAGCAAGGGTTGGCGGGAACATGCAAGAGCTCTAGAGAAGCTTAGTAAGTCAGTCATGTAGGTTTTCTCTAAATGAGAAGTAAGACCAGATTGTTGGAATGAAAAGCAATATTATAGATATTGCAGGTAAAGGGGGGAATGAAGAAGCTAGAGGGATCCCGACAATGGAGGAAGCTGAACATTAGAATCAACAACCTGCCAGAGAACTTCTTGTATCTCAGTCAAGAGTTTGGAAGTTCATTAATTGAAAACAAATGCTGATACTATATGATTCCACTCATATAACGTTCTCAAAATAATGAAACTGTAGAGATGAAGAACAGATTAGTGATTGCCCAGGGACAGGGGTGGGAGGTGAATATAGAAGGATATCATGGGAAGTTCCTTTGTGGTGATGAAGAATTCTGTATCTTGATCTTGGTGGTGGTTATATTTGAATCTATAAATGGGATTAAAATTGCATAGAAGTACACACACACACATGCAGATGAATGCATGTAAAACACTGGTGAAACATGGGTAAAGCCTGTAGACTAGTTCATAGTATTGTAATTGCATCAGGCTCCTAGTTTTGAGAGTGTGCTACCGCTGTATAAGATGTCACCACTGCGGGAAGCTGGGGAAAAGGGTACACAAAATATGTACTATTTTTGCAACTTCCTCTGAGTCCGTAACTATTTTAAAATAATTTTTAAAATTAATAAATGCCCAAGCACAGCAAATACTTGTTTGAGTGGCATCTGAGGCTTTCTCCAGCCCCTTCCCCGTCTAGTAGTCTTCTTCCCCTCCATCTGGGATCCCTATTTCCCAGCTGCTGTCTCCAGCTTGCAAGCAAATACTTCCAGAACACACACTGCCAGATTAAATTCTCCCTCCACCTCATCTGGCAGCAGAGCCTTAAAGCATTCGTCCCAGGGTCAGCCTTTTCCTTCACACCACACACAACGTGATGACTTTCTCACCCCACCCACCTCTCCAGCACTGGAATCCTTCTGCCTGCCTCTGAATTCTGGCTATAGCCAAAGCTGGGACTATGGGAGTGGCTGGGAGAGAAAGAATATAAGTGTGATTGAGGGGAGTGTCTGGGGAAATGACCACTCTGGCCTTTGAGGATCCAAGGGAAACCCTTGCATCTTGGGAAGAAGGACTAGGAGATCACTTCCCACAAGGAGCCATTTAAACTGTCTCAAGGGCCCCTTTTCTTTGAGCACTGGCTTCAGGCCAGCATTTGGAACTTGGCCACACCACCAACGGCCCCCCTCTTGAAGCCCAGCCAGATTTCCCAGCATGAGAAGCCTTCTCCACTCACGCCATGTCCTCCCTCAGTCCTCACCCAACCCCTAACAATTCAGCAGCTTCCAGCCCTAACGTTTAGCCTAGTCAGTCAGCTTGAAGCTTGCTAATTAAAGCTAACTCTGAAAGAGACCTCAAAAGAACAGAAAAATGAGAAGAGAAAAAGAGCACGGAGTTACAGTCATTCATGCTAAGGGAGACTAAACTGGGTGGGAGACTGTAAGAGAGGTGGGCAGAAAGAGATTTCAGTTATTGACTCATTCTCCAAATATGCGTGCAGCTTTTCTCCATCTACCAAAGGCAGGTGGGGCTGAACTTAAACAGCAGCAGAAACTGAGGTTAGACAATAAGCATGGACCCAGCTGGAGGACTGCTCTGAAGAGGCCAGCGGCAGTCCCCAGATTTCGGTACCCGTGTCCTCTGTCCAGCTCTAGGGCAAAGGAAAAGCCAGTATTCAGGAAAAGAGGGAGAGGCTGATGTCTGCAGAATCCTGGCAATTTCTATACTGATTGTGAAAATGTCAAACGGTTGTGCCAAGCAGGGTGAGGGTAATACAGGATGGGCCTGGCACTCTCACTGCGTCAGCCTAATCTTAACATTTATAGACTCTCCACAGAAACCCCCAACACCAACCTCCCTCATTTGCCCCTGCTCTCTGTTTCACATCCCCCAAGTCATTCTCTGGTACCCCTTCCAACCCCTTCCTTTCTTTCCCAGGCCCCACTGCTCTGGGAGTGAGACACCAGGCATCTTCCAGTCTGCCTCTATTTTGCTTGCTCACTGCAGTTCGAAGCTGGAGCCAGAGTGGGGGGAGGACTGGGCCAGGCTGCCCTGTGATGCTCTCACTCTTCCCGCTTCTATTGATCAGCCCTTCTCTGGAGTGGAGCCTCTTCCCAAACACTTCTCCCCTGCCAGGATTCCCTTCAACTGATGCCCAAGCTGGAAGGGCAGTGACAAGAGACAGGGCCTCTGCTCCTGGAGTCACTCCCATGGTGTCTGCAGTATAATGCAGTGGTTGCACTCAGGCTTTGGAGTCAGAAAGCCTGGATTTGTATCCCAGCTCTGCTTCTTGTAAACCTTGTTACTTCACGCTCTGTACCTGAGAGTCTTCATCTGCAAATTGGAGATGACAATTATAGTACTTTACGGGATCGTTCTAGGGATTAAATTAATTAATACACGTAAAGTGCCAGAGTAGAGGTCCCCTGGACTCATTGAAATTCTTTTCTTTCCTGGCCTTTCCCTTCTGGCAGCACCAGCCAGTTCTCAGCCAGTTCTCGGTTGATTCTCAGCTCCTTCCCTCTAGGGGGGACCACTTTCCTTTCAGAATTTTTATTTTGGCACTTAATGTCCTGCTTTATTCTGCCACTTAGCCATTTCGCCCACTAATCCTTTGATGGTCGCACATCTCCCGGGATTTAAGATGCTACTCTGCAAATAGCTGAGTGAATCAAGCAGTCAGCAATCCTCAACTCTGCCTCAGAAAACCAAGAGGCATGTTTATTCTAATTCAGTCAGCACCCATTTCTCCTCCCACTGCAAACAGAAGTGATAAAGTCAAGTTTCAGCTATGTAACCGACTCACAAAATGAAAGAATGCCAAAGTTAGAGACAGCTTTAGATATGGCTTAGTCCAGTGATTCTCAACCTTTGATGCA